TTGTAATAATTTATTTTGTAGTGAAAGGTGTATAAACTTATAGGCGGTTGTAGGAAAACCATGCACTGAATTCTATTTAGACCAACTGTATTACTACGAAACAGTCGACTTTCCTGAATAAAGGTTAGAGATGACAGATTTTCTTCAGGTTCATCTGCAAACTCATCTATATTAGTGGATGTTAACCTTGTGTAATTCCTGTAGCACGCTTGCTAAGTCAAGCAGAATTTAATGTAAAATCAGTTTACACCAAATGTGTTGCATAGAAGACTATTAGATTAAGCTTATGTTATAGGAGTGTTCTGAATGGCACTCTACGGGTCAGTAAAAAGAATCCACTAAGCAACCCTGTTCGAATTTGTGCAGTAGGCGGCAACCAGCCACACCTCTTATGTGTAGTGTGACATGGTTCGAAACCGTGATGCAACTACCCATAACAGTAATCTGTCTAATATTGTTTCAGCTAAACAATGGGACGATTTTGTAACTACTATGTCTAAAGATCCATTTACAGATGAAGAATATCTCAAATAGTTAAACCAAGATTGGCTACCACCCTCTAATTCAGTTTGATTTGCATTGACATGAAGAGATGGTAACTGTGGATTCAGCTCAAATATTTTCATTACTTTTATTTATTCAACAGTTTTTTTCTAAAAAATCAGTCTGTATTAAGGTGGCAAATCAACTGCATCAGTAACTAATTCTCAAGAGATCTAAAATTCATTTCAGTATTTATTCAGACAGGAACTTACTGAATATCTTGAACATTCAGTGTTTACACAATTCAACCTTCAGGGATGGACTAAAAAAGATTGATCTGAGTGCTAACAGGTGGCAAATACTTCCTGAATATGAGTGAATATAAGTCAAATACGTATATTAGGATGACCAATTTGCAAATGGCTTATAAATTCCACTGTCCATCCAACTGTGGTATCAACAGAGTTGACGGCGGAAATCACTAGGTATAATCCATGACACAAAAGTGTCATAAACCAACGAAATATACTACTACTGAATCATTTGAGTAGTTTAAAACTATTCAAGGTGATGTGTAAATCTATAGTTTATCAATTATTTGAAAACTGATCATCAAGTTTAAGGTCTACTGGTCCATGCAAGTCAGCGAGCCGATTGTCGCGTGTACTGCAATGCAGTCCAGTCTGTTCTACTGTATGCCTATGAAATATGGCCATTGAAGGTGGAAGACATGAGAACGCTGCAAGTGTTTGATCACCGTCGCCTCAGTAGTATACACCAGATTCCGTGGTGTCACCACCTGACTTATCCAAAAGTCAGGAGTAGAGTTTTAGGGAGGGAGAAGAGGTAAGTCAGTTGACGAGGTTATGAACCTTCATCGACTGAGATGATTGGGACACGTGTTACGTATGCCTAGTTGCCATCTGCCTTGTCACACAATGTTGGCCGGAGTAGATGCAGTCTGGGAAAAGGCTCGAGCTGATCAGACTAAAACATGACACCAATGCATGAAGTCTCTGACTGTTGGTTTGATCCATGTTGGCGATGCAAACTAGACGAGTGGGGTGGTGGGACAAGAGGAGCCAGTGGTTGGCGAGTCCATGGGATCACATGTCTGAGAACCGATGTTAGTGGTGCAGATGTATCCGCACACACATTATCCTCTTCTTAACGACACTATATCGATTCTCACCATTTTCTCATTCTTCCTTTCTCTCTTTTCATACTTTATGTTTGTTTTGACTGAATTTTCTTATCTTTACCTTTCACCTCACTGCCTTTTTACTTGATGTGTTTATTTGAGCTGTAGTAAGTTGGAGCGTTGCGCAGTAATGCCTTGTCGTATGTTGGTATTGATGATGATGACGCCAGCTAGACTCAGCTGAACTGTGTGAGCTGAATTTTCTCCGTGTGCACCAGTGATGAGCTGGTTCTATCATAACCGAAACAAACCGCTTTTTCGTATGTTGATTATTCCCATCTAGCTGGCGAAATCTAAAGATAAGACTGATTGGTTTCCAACTACTCAAATATTTGAATGGTATATTTCATAGGCGAGTATTTTTTTGGTAGATTAGGTAAACAATCAATATCAACAGTCCCTCATGTAGACTACACTCATACGTGAAAATTACAGGAAAATACAAATCTTGTGTTAATGTACATCGCTTATCATTATTATCCTTATTAATATTTGTCCCTTAGGTTCCTAGTCGAACACATGTCTTCAGTAGAACGTCTCCATTACACTCTGTTCTCCGCAGTCTTTGCAACCTGACATCATGACTGCCCACAAGCTCTCATTTCTTCCTCACACCATCTTCTCTATCTCACCCTTACCTCGAATGCCCAACTCGTCGTTTCCCATCTGGGTTCCACTCGAGGGTCTGGCCTGGTGCGTGATGTACCTGAATGGTCTTCTCACTTCAATCCAATCCAATCCATCTCCACTTCCTTCCACTGCATATTTGTTGAGTGATAGGTTCTTGCTTCATTGGTTGGCTCGTTCTGAGAGTTTCTTGTTGTTTATTTTTACTACTCTGGCCATCTGAGCTTGAGTAACGAGCCAGCATAGGGGAAGGTTGTTGATGAATATCTGTAGTTTGGTGTAATTCCCTTTCGTAATGCGCCAAGTCTCTCAACCATATGACAGCACTGACTAACTTGACTGCATTAATGTTGAAAATCCAGATCTCGTTCAGGTTTTATGCTGAATGCAGTGAAGTAGATCTGCACACTGGTTTCAAGTTAATGAACGCCTGTCTTGCTGTTCTTTGGATTCTGGCTGATTTGACATTCTCATGTGTGCCACCGCTGCCTGTAGTTGAAACGATGCTGGCTTGCCCAGATAGTGAAAGAGGCTACTTCCTTTAAGTTTCTCTCGTTGATGGTGGTTGGAGCCTGTTGCTGTTGTTGGTGGTGGTGGTGTTGGTTGGGCATCTTCATCACCTCTGTCTTCTCTACATTCACTTGGAATCCCGTCTTCTCTGCTTCGCCTGGCAAACTGGTTTACTGGTTACTAGTCACTCCTAAGCCGGGGTAAAGAGGGAAGGTTGGTCATAGGACCAGGAAACCTACCCTGTAAAACCAATCCAACCGCTACTTCAAAGCTGAGACAAAATATACATTGTTTAGGTTAAGTTATTCTCAAAATCATTCAGATACTCATTATCAATGTGACGATGTTTGTTTAAGCACGCAGTTTTAGAGGGTCAGTTTATAAGTACTTACTGTATAAGATAATCTGTTTAACTGATCGCCTTAGTGCTAACAGTTCTCAGGTAGGGAAAACCCTTCTCAGATGATCAGCTTCCCTTCCTACTTAGTTTGGCTTTACACACCAATTTTGTACAGCTTTTTCCTTTAGTAACACTGTAGGAAAAATCTGAATAAAAAGAACGCACAAACTACTTTCCACTGGGTAATTAATTTAACTGTCTATAACTCAGTAATAAACATTAGTTTGTTGTTATTCAATTAGAATACAATAATAGCAGATTTTACATTGGTAACCCCCTAGTGACCAGACAATTTATGCAATACATTTTTCCGAGTAGCTAAGTGGCAAATTCTTTTGCTGCGGCCTTAAACAGAAGTGTCAGTTCACTGAGGGCCATGGACTCACCTAGCTAACAACCAGGGAACCTAGGTCGAACAAAGCTTTCTGCCGACTAGCCTGTAACTAAGTAATATCAAATTTTATATTAATTTGAAATATGCTGATTTAACCAGTTTAGTAGTATTACCTAGGATGATGAGTTGCCCTCAGCCATTTACACGCGTTCACTCGGGATGCAACGAGCAAGCTTGATATCTTTCGGCATACTTTTTACACGCTTGGTATGAGAAACGTACAAGTTTGTATCCTGTAGACTTCGCAGACTTCCTAAAAAGCAAACACTGTAGAACTCTGGAATCGAAAGTCACTCCTGAACCCATGAGCAATCTCATGAAGCAAGTTGTGGAACTGCGATGTGAAAATCATTTGTTCTGTGCTCTTCTGGTAACTATGGATCTCATGCAGGGTAGCAGTTTCTAGTCTGTACCTGTGTGACTTCTTCATACCATTAGTGAAGAAGCTTTCATCGCCAGCTGCTTCCTTGAGGTTTTCCCACGTATCAAATTACCAAGAGTCTGTTTAGTTCTTGCCATTTCGAAAAATCACAAGACGATTGACAGATTTTTCTGGTAGAAAGAAAGTCTAAGAAACCTATTTTCAAGTGAATAACTTCGAATTACACTCGTTTATTTAGTTACGTTTATTGATGAGACTTACTTTGCAGTGAATTCAAGACTATTGGATCCAGGAAAATCATATCTGTCAGAATCTAAAACCTTCAGGGAAGTGATGTCCTATCTGAGGTTCGAAGACACGTCACCCAGTGTTGTGGTCAATGATGTAACCACTGAGCTATTCGTGGTATCGATGAACTCAACATCACAGTACATTTGGCTAGATGTTAGTTGCTTGGGCACATACATCAGAAAGTCTTAGACTTAGGCTTCGTGCTTGTTGGCACTCGTTAGCAAGGCGTACATACCCTCCGATGATCAACCAGTGTATCTAATCAACAAGTCGTCGCGGGTTTGAATCTCAGGAGGGGAAATTAGATTCATCAACGTTGGAGATACGCATTGCTGGCGAGTGCCAGCAAGCGCAAAAATTATGTTTAGGGCTTCCTAAAGACCGCCTCCAACTAACTAACATCTACCAATGTACACTACAATGCTGAACTTCTTAGCTTGCAGATATGATGGATAGAATTTTGTCGGTATTCAGGATAGGAGACTATGAAATTAATTGCTCTCGAGTAACCAGTCAATGTCGATTTGTCTTTACTATCGTTGAAGCAAGGTACAATATACAATGGGGTGAATACTTGTTTGAATACAATAAAGCTTTGATTTCTATGAAATACAAAATTAGTTCCGTACCATGAATTAAACTTTTTAAACAAAATCTAAGCTAAATATAAATGTTTCAATGAAGATTATTTGAAAAATTTTTTATGCTTTAGAACATATCCCGGATACTGCCTTGGTTGTCCTAAGCAAATTGTCCACTTCTGTGCATATATGGTATCGTCCTGAAATGTCACGTAATGATGGTAAGTAACTGAATTGGAAATTTGTACATTCCTATGGTAATTAATTTTTACTTTATTTCTTTCCAAAGTAAGTCATCTTCATCTCTATTCTGCAGTTTGATTATTACCTTTGAAGAAGCATTCAAGAATTGTACAAAATTCACTTGTTCCTAGATGTTTAAAATGTTAAGACATCAGTAATCAACCAGTGTACGTCATAGAGAATTAAAAAATCCTCACTGAGGAACGATTTCAGCTACTTTAAGACTTAAGTGCCGGTCCTTTTTTATTATTCTTCGAAAAGATGGAATTTTTCTTCAATAAATGTTATACTGTGAATACGTCTCATCAAGATAGTTACTTGTTGACTTTCGAACAAACATAAACTGATCTCTGTGAATAATATGTTAGCCATTAAGACAGTCAGAGGGATTTATATAAACTATGATCAAGATTTGATCGTATAGTATGGCAAATATTGAGCGCTGAGTAAAAGGTTAACATAACATATAGATTGGATTTGGGTAAGTCACAGCGAGTTTGAAATCAAATAACTCCAACATTTCGCATGGAAGTCTGGTCCGACCTTCTTTCGGAAAATAATTAAAACTTAAACACCAAGGATATATGCATATGAATCCAAAACCGTGTATTTAATCTCTTCGTATAGTCACTGGATAGTCACATAAGTGCAAAACTCCGATATAAAAAAAGAAGAGGAAAATGTCATAATTTCACTATTCTAGATCACATATATTCTCACAGAAACTTATCATCTCGCCTCATCTGAAATTGTACTCATTACATAGAGAAATTAAGTTATTAACTAGGAAGGCATTTCGTCGATTCACTGACACCTAAAATAATTGAAAATAACACCCTAACCTTCAACTGGTTGGTTTATTCAGTGGTTGTGTAAAAGCTCACAGAGATTTTAATTTCTCTATACAAACAATTTGTAAGCTTGAGAAGAGCTTAAGATTCTCCATTCTGTTTGATCTACGATTTTTAACAAATGCTCGCTTTCAATTTGGAATTCATCATGAATTGACACCAGTTGGAAGAACATTGGAAACCTGAAAGCACTAGACATCCGTTTCGTCTCATTATAAAACTCCTCAGCAGTAAGCACCGATGACCTCATTTCACCTCGGATCAAACCATGCACCTTCAAGTCCCGTGGCAAGAAATTACCATTGAGGCACTGGATCGGAATCCAAATGTCCATATTTCCTACTTCTATCAATTCACAAAACAGAGCGACCCCATTCAATGCCGTTGTCATTGAGCAACTGTCCTGATGTTCGACTTGATTGGCATCGCTCGTTATAACTTCTCATTAGACTTCGGGAATCAACTCTGAAAGCTAGTCACCAGTGAGTACCATTAATAGATACAAACTTGAAATCAATGACGAATAAATCTGCACACACTTCAAAGTTGAAGTAACCTAGCGCTCATGGGTGACTTGCTTCGAGAGCTGATTCCCGAAGTTCTAATGAGAAACCGTGAGCACTGGGGTCAACCAAGTCGAACATGTGGACAGTTACTCAGAGATGACATTAGATGGAGGTCGCACTGTGTCATGACAAGCTTCCAAATGCTCGATTTATTTGATTGCGTAAGAAAGCGACAGTCAGAAGACTGGAGGCCGTATTCAACTTGAGTTTCGCGCTTGCTAGCAGTTAACAGCGGGTGTCTGCGCAACAGACAAGAAACCGCTGCTTTCTCGGGAAGAGACTTGAGAAATAAGCAATTCAGGATACGAATGACTCCTTTGTCAGAAACATCCAGCTGACGACTCCTGGGTGAAACAAAACGCGTTCCTTGGATTATACTGGCAGATATAATCAAGAAGGTTTCGATGTTCCTTCTCTCCTATTAAACTGGATTTTGACTGAGATGATTGCACATAGACAGCAGTGCATCATGCATACATTCGAAAGCTGAGCTAAGCTTCAACATAAGATATAGTCACCATCCGTAGTTCATAGTTGAGCTGGTAGAAAACCGAGTTGATAGTTCAGAGGTCGCTGATTGGCCTCCTGCCAAAACTTACATTTTCATTTGTTACTTCTCATTACTTCTCATGAATTATGCACATATTAGACGTTTTGTGAGATTTTCTGAATCTTAGGCTTTCAATTTCGATTACATCTTCTCCGGTTTTTACATCCTGCAGTCCTGGAGAATAGGTATATCAGTTTTGAGGTTACAAAAATCTGTGTTGACATAGAAGTAGCGTGTTCTAAAAGAGCCATGAAGGTCTTCCTGAACATTCCCTGTATAAATCAGACCTTACTGAGCAAAAGCTAATCTGAGCTATTGAGTAATTAAACACCCCTTTTTCAATGTATTGGGTATTAATTCTTCAATGGAACAAAAACTTAATTCTGTTCATAGTTCTGAGGGCTTGCAGTGTCTTTTAAAAAGTAACATTTTGAGTAATAACTTGAATCATTTGAGAATCCCACGAATATGATGGGTTACTTACCGATATTGGAAGGACCACCTAATCTAGTCTGAGAAGGAATACCAGAATGGTCAACCGGTGGAATATGAAGATTTTGTAGTAAGTTTACTGATTGTTGTTGTTGCTGCTGTTGAGGGAAAACAGGTGGTCGTAAACTAGGAAAAAGACCTGAACTTGGCATCAAACTAGGACTTGTGAATAGAGGAGCACCAGATAGGACATTCAGTGAATCTCCTGTATTGTAGGCAACTGATGTAGGAAGAAGAGCTCGTGCAAGATTAGTAAAGGCTGATGATGAAGACAAACCAGGAAGACTGAGTGTTGTTAATGGTCCAGGCTAAAATGATATCATACAGGTAATAGACAGGCATTATTAGCAAACTCATTACATGAAGTAACTCAGAAAATAACATGGTTATAATACTTCAATCAAAGTTTCACCTTGTGTTTAGTATATGGTAAATAATGCATGCTAATTAAAGGCCTTTAATTATATTAGTAATCACCATCATCACCCATCAACAGACGACCAGGCAGTACTGCGTGACGGTCCAAGTTGCCGCCACACCCCATATCAGTATATCAAGTAGAAAGACAGTGAAGTGGAAGATGGAGAAGAGAAAATTCAGTCGAAAGAAATATAAAGTACGAGAAGAGATAAAGGAAGAATAAGGAAATGGTGAGATTCGTATAGCATCGTTAACATGAGGATAATGTGTGTGCGGATACATCTGCGCCCTTGACTTCGGTTCTGAGTCATCACCTAGAGTCTCCAACCACTTGTTTCTCTTTTCCCAGGATTACAACCGGCTAGTCTGCATCGCCTTACATGGCTAAGACCAACAGTCAAAGACTTCATACACTATCACCATGCTCGAGTCTGACTACCACGGGCCTTTTTCCAGAATGAACCTACTTCGGCCAACATTGTGCTATGAGGCAGACGGTGACTGGACATACGTAACACATGTTTCAGCCAGCCATATCAGTAAATGAAGGTTCGTAACCGTGTCAACTGACTTAACTCTTCTCCCTAAAACTCTACACCTGACTTCTGTGTTACTCACTTGGTGACACCATGGAATACCGCCTATACTATGAAGCAATCCATGATGAATAACACTCTCACCAAGGAGTTAGAAACAGCCACAACTACTTCCGTAACAAATTCAAAGATGTGCAGGTCAAGAGAAGAACTGTGCAATAAGCTTGTAGTAGTAAGTACCACGGACATCGAATCCCTACGGATCCTTCAGTTCCACTGACTTCAGAGAGCCATCTCCCAAATATCAAAGCATCTTAGGAGTTTTGACAACTATGCAAACATGCAAATACTGGTTTGTCGCCATCGGTTCAGCTCATAGTTCAGATTACTTCCGCATACTCGAATGATTTTAACTTATTCCTCATACAAAGTATTTTTAAGAGGGTTACATTATCACTGTTACCATCACTAGTATTTCCTCCACTTCACTTTTCCTCAGCTGTCTCCTATCTTAATTAGACAGTCATTGTCAGGCATCCGGACGCCGGATGATCGTATAGTTGGCTAATATTAGGCTGTGAGTAAAAGGTTGACATTTAGACATAGATTGTATTTGGGTAAGTCACAGAGAGTTTGAAATCAAACAATTTCAATGTTGTTTCACATGGAAGTCTGGTCTGAGCTTCTTTCAGGAAATAATCAAAATCGAACATCAAGGATATATGTAAATAAATCCAATGAAAAACCTGGATTTATTCTGCTTGTCCAATCCTCTTCGTGTAGTCATTGTCTTTCTAAATTATGCTAACTAATCATTCAGTATTATTACTTGTATTATCCCATTGTTGATTGCACTGAATTCATCAGTCAGCATTGACATATGTGCTTGTGTGCAGATGCCTCAATATTGTCTGTGTTTTCAATATAGTACTGATGGGTAGTAGCTAACAGTGGAATCCGGAATATGCATTTCGTCCTATTTGGGACTTGTCAGTTGGATGTACCTTCATCCCAGTGAGTAATGTTATTCCCACAGGGATTGTAACTTGGGACTGCTCGTTTCAAACGCCAGAACATTATCCACTAGACTACCGAGTCATGATAATAAGAGGAATAACACTAAAATCTATACCCGTCGCACAAGAAGTGGCTATTGTGGCTCGGTGTTGTAGTAGATAACGCTCTGGAGTTTGAATCTATGGGTTCCGAGTTCAAATCCCGATGGGAATAACATTACTCACTGGGACTCAGGTATATCCAGCTAACGAGTCCCAAATAGGACGAAATGTGCATCCTAGATTCCACAACCAGTCACTGTCGATCATAAGTAATCATTCAGTGTGAAATTGTACATCTCTTGTTGTGTGGCGTGTGTGTGTGTGTGTATGTGCTTATGTGTATATGTACTCCAATTCATATTCGTCTTGATTGTAAATATCAGAGGAAAAAGGATCACTGGTGACATTAAAGTCATTCGGCAATTTTATAACTACCAGGGAATGAATAAGGCAGATATGTATGCAGTTTTAGTTGGAATATGGTGGTGAATAGCACTAACGAGTTTCGTCGTTGATTCACCAGGAAAATAGTGGAAATGAGTAATGATAATTATGGTGATGATGATGATGATGATGAAAATGATGATGGTAATGGTGAATCAAATCAATCCAGATTGTGTTGCTGATGTTGATGCAGATAGAAATGATGAAGTTGAGACTGCTGTTGACGTTAAATGCTGCAAGTCACTCCTTCTGCTTATTAATTCGTAATTGTCAAGACACACAGCTAACTGTACTCCATCTCTTCTGTTCAAACTGTCTGAATTCGGCCGTCAAAGTCAATTTTGTGTCCCATTTCTATAGAGTGTAGTACGATGGCAGATTTGTTTTCTAGTTTCTTAACCTCTGGTGAGGTTTTCGGAACCTGCTTTAAGCATAGTTTATGCTGCTTGACTCTCACATTTACCTGCCTTGCTCTTTCCCCTATATATACTGCAGTACAATCTCCGCATTTGATTTGATAAACGCAATTCTGTTGATTTTCTCTAGGTACTATATCTTCAAGTTTCAATAAGTTAGAACGGAGTGTATTTGTTTCACAAACGTAAACCCTTCTGTCGTGTTTGTTGAGAATCCTTCTTACTTCTTCTAAAGTCTCCTCACGGTATGCGATTATGACAGTGCTTATCTACTTTTTCAGAGGGAGTTTCGACACATCCCTAATTTCATTTTTTAAAATACTTTTAACGAAACTCTTGAGATAATTGTTTGATTCCAGTGTGCGACAAACTAACTTTAACTCTTCTTCTTTATTCTCTTTCGTTGTAACATGACAGTTAGCCGTGTTGGTTAGATTCCGCGTGATGTTTACTTTAGTAGTCACGTGATGTTCAGGCTGACAATCGAGGTATCTGTCAAAATGTGTTGTTTTTCTAAAAATCTCAAATCTTAGTTTGTTTTACTCCTGTCTTTTCACTATACAGTCGACAAAGTTTAATTTCGACCAGTTGGATTCAGCTTCCTTGATGAAAGTAATACTTCCATACACATTATTTATGTGACAGAAGAGTTCATCTAGACTGTTCCAGAAGTACCTTAACCAAATTCTTGGATGTGTGGAGCGATTTCTTATTGTATTTGTCTCTAACGAATGAATAAATAATTTAGCTGGTATTGGTGATACTGGAGATCTATCGTATTGCCATACCATCTGTCTGTCTGTCTGTACAGATCCATAGTAGTTCCGGTAGTTCCATGGACGTCAGAATTTCTCCTGGATTTAATGAACACCATCAACTTAGGTCAGTATCTGACAGCAGTAGCTTATGAATGTTATCTAATACCTTTTTACTGGGTAGGTTAGTAAATTAAAAGCAAACACCGAAACTTGAATTATTTCGTCTTCTTCAATGTAAGATGAAATGATTTTATTCATGAATTCAGATGAATACTTTAGTGTATATTTTAATCCTTTTTCGTATTATTTTCGGATTCCTGAAATGTATTTTCCTAAATTGCATGTGAGTGAGTTATTGAAATCCACAACTGGTTTGAGAAGTACATCTGTCTTATGAAATTTTGGTAGTTCAAGGGGGAATGTTCCCCTAAATACTACTTACTAATTCATCTACAGACTCATGTATTTTCTTCAGAAAACTGCTTACTGGATAACGATAGCTATCAAATGAATTATCTATTGAACTTTAACTTTGTATGAACCCTGTTTTTATTGAATGAATTGAATTCTGTGAGGAAAATACATTGGCTGAAATTATAAACTGCTTACTGATATTTAAGAGAGAGTAGCGTTAACGCTTTCTTCGTTTTTAATATATGCACAACTAAAGAACACAGACATTCAGAAAATAAACAATATGGATTATGTAACTTGAATTGATGGTCTGCTTAAACTCTGTGCTATGCTGTCCTTTCTTGTTTCCCAAGTCAGCTAAATGTCGTAGGTCAGTGGACCGACTTCCAACTATCCACATACACATGAAAACGGTACACCAACAGGCCATGCACCCCTACTAACGAAAAGGGCCCTTTAAGTCTCAGACATCCATTCTTGGCTCTTTATAAGAGAGGTAGAGAGTGTCTGACCTAAGTTGTACTACTAAGACTGACAGTATCTAGTACTTGTCGCTCAAATAGCACCACCACGTGGCTAGACGTCAGGACTCAGCCATTTGAGCGTTATACCACCTGTGTGATTAAATGACAACTGACCATATTCACGAGTCAATCGGTGGCTGTTCCTAACACCCAGTCCTTAACCAGGAAGTGTGACGAAAACTTCGTCATTTTGAGCGTTCGATAGCAATAGCTGGTGGAGTCAGTGATCTGAGAGCCATACCGGAGACATAGGCATGCACCCCGGCCAACTAAAAAATTCGTGAAAAACCACAAGCATATAATCTGCAGCCTTCATCATACCTCATGTTTATTTCGAGGCTGACACTATTTCGTCATCTAGGGTACACGAACGGCGTGTCGCTGTAAGTAACATCATGAGCTTTCATATTAGGTACACCGGAAGGTCCATCTACCACTGATTAGCTCCGTCATTACCCCAGCTGAAGAGGTCTCCTTTCCTTCAAAACCCTAGTCCTGCATGGAGAAGTTTGACAGTCAGGCAGTTTGCAGGTCGACAGATACTTATCAGCAGGAACCAAGAGAAAGTCTATGGTCGTGCAAACGCACTTCCCCGTTTCATAAACACATGAGTTATGAAATACGTCTTAAATATGCTCCATTTATCAGGCTTTTTGGCGGTGACTCGAAATACCTTAGTGGCGATAATCTTCTGGTGAACCAGCCATCCGAGTAAAGATGGCCAAGTGTGCACCGAATGCTAGGCATTCAGTGAGCAAGTCAAAATACCCGAATTGTGTGAGAGTCATAGTTACTTTAGGCGAACCCAAATATGTTACCTAACCTGAACTGGTGGTCTGATTAAGCACTGCACTACAAAACATTTTCTGTAGAATATATTGCATCAAACTACCAATTTAAAGATGCTCTCAAACCACGTCATTTACTCTGGTAAGTAGGAAAAAGAATGTTTTCAACCTATAGTTTGACAAATTTGCAATTCTCTGGTGCAGTTTTTCAACAGTCACACTCCAGAAACAACACTACAACCAACACCTCACACTCCCACTTGCATCCAGATGACCTGGAACACAATGTATCTGTGGCCAGCTGCTCATCGTCCGGAGACATCGTCACATAAACATGGACGCACACACGGGCGCGTGCTCTCAGTGATTATCAATGAATACGTCGGACTGAATATACTATATGGGTCAAATTCATCACTTGCAATCAAACGCCTGTGAGTACTTACAAACGCACGCATACAGACATACTCACATTCTTACACAAATGGAAAGACAGACACATATCAAAGACGAGATAGGCTCTCACGCTCACAAATTAATGAACTCGTGCTCACTCGAACGAATACTCTTTCCTGTCATCTAGCCACATAGACACTGTTCCGATGACAGACAGGTTCATTGGGATACTCCACACCAAGCATTCACACAAACACAATCAACTACTCACATCTGCAACAAATCCTCTCTGAAAACACCAAGTGACACTTCGTGAAGTACCACAAATTAATCAACTGAACATATCAAACTGCGAGAATCGTTGATACAGAGAGCAAGTTCATAAGGGTATGCATAATTACACATCGTCGGTTGACGGTTGACATGCATCTCTGAAGATTTGCTCAGTGATCAGTCAGCTTGTTATGGGTACAACATCCGCCGCTCAAGCAGTCGACAAGACTGTCCACTCATCTGGTCACCGCAAATCAAGCTGAACATGACTTACTCATTTACTCAATCACCCACCCACCTAACTACCTACGCATGTGTTAACATCTTTCTGCACAGTCGGTCTACCAAACTGCATTCCCATCTACTAGTCCACTTGGAGAAAACATCTTGACTTCAGCCGACTGACTTCCATCTCCTAACACCGAAACACAGTGTACTACAATGTTGAAAAGCTTTGCTTGAATCCGACTATTTCAGGAATAACGATGTAGCATAGTGTTGTTTTTAAATAGGTAGCCAGCGCTAAACACACATTACTTCCCAAATGAAAGTAGTATAGAGGTCAGTGAACAGAGAATACTTCGGACGCTGTCTTGTAAAACTGATACTGATGTAATTAATAGAACTCTTATTCTGAAACATCCTTTATTGTATGAGTTTTGAAAAGACGAAAAGAAGATTGTCATTGAAATCAAAAGGTAAGAAAAATATCTTTTTGGGCTTTAACAAAAATGTCAACATAATATTTGTATCATTACTACTTGTAAGTAATATCTTACTTAGTTTCCTATAAGACATATTCCAAATAATTTTCAAATTTTTTTTTGTAGCAATGGATTTAGTTCGATCTGAAGCGCCTGGAACATTTGTTGTTCGAAACAGTGGAAGTTTTCCTCATTCATTCGGACTTGTAGTCAAAGTGGATCGACATCATACTCATGGTTAGTTGATGAAAATATATTGTAAACTTTCGATTATGAACTAACCTGTCTAACTAAGTAATATGAGAATAAAGGTTGTAAAGTAATCAACAAGTTGATGGACTTGAATTCACTGAATGTCGATGTAATGGTGGCTATTAGGCGGAAGAATCCAGGACCCACATTTCGTGACTCGTCAGCTGGATGTACCTGCACCCCAGTGATATTGTTCCCACTGTGACTCGAGCCTCTTACCCATCGCTTCAAACGCCGAGACGTTATCCACTATGCCATGGAGCAACGCGCCACCTGGATTCTTCTACTAGCCACAACCAACCAAATTATTATATTTAACATTCAGGTAATATCGAGGCATCCACATAGGAGCCAACAGAGGTCGAACAATTCGATCCAACCAAACAATGGAGAATAAAAAGTATGTCAAGAAATAGTAACCTGTCCTTTTTTGTTGATAAGGTAAATAAATTTTTTTTCGAATGTAGAAGGTTAGTAAATTTATTCTCATAAACTCAGTGCATGCATACAGTGAACTTTAGAAATTGTGCGGATACTCAAACTGAGCTATTGTCTGAGCTATTTATTTAGTTGGCTAAATTATGATTGGTTGGCACTTATTGTTTGAATGAACCGATGAAGGTCACCTTGATCTGACTAGAGGATTCTTTCGTACTGGGGAGGGAACGGTTTACACTGATTGGTTGATTTACTCCAGCTGAACTGATGTTGTTTGCTATTTCTGGCTGGTTGGTTTCTACTTCGGAAACTAAGTGTTGCAGTTTGGTTTTGTACACTTAAGAAATCTTGATGTAGTTGACTGATGATCTCCTCCTTGGTTGCGTCTAGCTTTTCCATACATTTGAATCGCTAGATCCCTGTTTCTGGCTTGCCTTCAATGATTCTCTCTTCTGTTCATTCTAACAAGAAGAGCTAAGCAATCATATTGAAGTAAAGTAAACACCTTACACTTAAAGAAAAGAAGTCAACCATGACATATTTGAATTCCCTATCTCAGAAAACTAGAAGCAAGATATCAACCAATCACGTGCAAGATATTCCCAACTGACCAATCAGGTTAAACTCACACAAACAACATGTGCTAAGTGTACACGCACAATCTATGACTCCTTTTGTGAAATTCTGAAGCACTGATAATGATGCCCAGTGTGACAATGAAACGTTTAATAACGAAACCCTTATTTCAAACAACAAGTCATTTTGAATACAGTTAACTGTCTTGCGGCTACAGCAAATAATTCTTCTCTTCTTAACTAGATACGATACCTTAGCTGACAGTGAACAACTACACATTTATTGGTATTCCTCTTGGTGTCAGACATCTGTTCTTCCATAAATAAATTTTTTATGACCTAAAATTATTTATTTTATTTTCATCTGATTGTAACCTACCTACAGTATTGAAACGTTTTACCCATAAAATGGTAGCTCATATATTGGGAGTAAATGTTAACGTGTGTTTTCGTGCGTCCGCGTATATGTGTGTGTGTGTGTGTGCGAGAGAGAGAGAGGGAGAGAAAAAACAAACTGGTTATAACTTTCTTAGCTATAGAAAACTATGTCTGCATCAAAGTTGATACTTGGCAAATGAAATTATTTCAAAATTAACACCTTATCAAAAAACAGTCAATTTAATTTTTTCCTGATACACTAAGGTAAATACGACACATTTTTTAGACAAACTTGTCCTTAAAATCGATTTAGGTTTTTCTCAGGTAGAGATATATAAGTTTTTTTTAGATGAGTGGTGATTTTAGTTTAGAGGTAGTAGTATTCATCATAGACTGAGATCAGTTGGGAAAGCATTGAAAATCTGGGAGCATTGGACAGCTGTTTTGTTCAACTAGTATAGGATTCCTCAGCAATACACACCCACGACTCGGCTAGACACCAAACTCAAGACCTCTAAGTTTCACTGCGAACACGTTGATCATTCAGTCACTGTGTCTGTCTTCCATGGTTCACAGTTTCCAACTTCTATCAGTTCATGACATTTCACGACTACCATCCATCAGTTAGCATTTGGTTCTCTTCCGACTGGTTCACCCCAGTAATGATATGCTCCTAGATGGATAGCACAAAGTTCTGATGAGAAGCCGTGGCCTGTGGGGTCAACCAGTCTGAAGTAGAGTGGATACTAACTGAAGACCTTGGGTGATAGTCACGATATGTCATGAATTGACAGACGTCAGAAACTGTGAACCACGGAAGACAGACACAGTGACTGAATGGTTAACTCGTTCGCTGTGAAACTTGAAGGTCCTGAGTTTGGACCCTAGATGGGTTGTGAGTGTGTACTACTGAAGAGTTCCATACTAGTTTGACAAAACAGTTGTCCAGTGCTCCCAGATTTTCAATGGTTCCTTGACTGATCTCAGCCCATGATGAATACTACGTCTAATAATAAATATGTTTGTAGTTAATATTTGCGCTCACACCACCATTGCAGAAGGTCTGGAAGGAAGGGAAGGTACCTGGCGATTGGAAGAAAGGCTACCTTGTCAAACTTCAGAAGAAGGGCGACCGAAGTCTTTGCAAGAACTGGCGCGGAATCATGTTCCACTTCTGTCCACCCCGAGCAAAATATTAAGCCACATTATCCTGGAGAGACTAAAGGATGCACTGGATTCTAAACTACGACCCGAACAGGCAGGCTTAAGGAAGTACAAATCATGTGCCGACTAAATTGCAACGCTACCCATCATTACAGAACAGAGTATAGAACAGCAGTCAACCCTCTACCTCGGCTTCATCGACTTTGAAAAAACCTTCGATCGAGGCATCGACCGACAAGTAATTTGGCAGGCAGTTGCTTCAACACTACGAAATGCAACAAACCTTTATCAGTCTCATTCAACAACTATATGAAGATACCACATGCCAAGTAGATCACAATGGGAAGATAAGTGATGCCTTCGAAGTGAAGACAGGAACAGAACAAGGCTGCTGTCTACTGTCATCCATGATCTTCCTGATTGTGGTCGACTGGATCATGCAGCAGACAACAGTGAGGAGCGAGAAGAGGTGGATACACTGGACCGTGGAGAAGAAACTAGAAGATTTGGATTTCGTCGATGACTTATGTCTAATGTTACACAAACTCGAAGATCTACAGGTGAGAACTAACAAGGTGACAGAAGATGCAGGTCAGCGAAGACGGGACTTCAAGTGAATATAGAGAAGACAGAGGTGATGATGATACCCAACCAACACCACCACCACCACCAACAACAACAACAAAAACAAAAACATGCTTCAATCACCATCAACGGCAGAAACTTAAGAGAAGTAGTCTCTTTCACTATCTGGGCAAGCCAGCATCGTCCGAACTACAGGCAGCGGTGGCACACACGAGGATGTCAAATCAGCCAGAATCCAAAAAACAGCAAGACAGGCGTTCATTAACCTGAAACCAGTGTGCAGATCTACTTCACTGCACTCAGCACAAAGCCTGAACAGGATCTGGATTTTCAACACTAATGCAGTCAAGTGAGTCAGTGCTGTCATATGGTTGAGAGACTTGGGGCATTATGAAAGGGATTTCCAACAAACTATAGATATTCATCAACAACTGCTTACTCTGGCTCGTTACTGTAGATCAGATGGCCAGAACGATGAGAATAAGCAACAAGGAACTCTGTCTGGCTGGCAACGAACCAACGAAGCAAGAACCTATCGCTGAACAAATATACAGTGGAAGGGAGTGGAGATGGATTGGGCATACACTGAGAAGGTCGATTGGGGACATGACGCACCAGGCCAGGCACTTGAATGGAATCCAGATGAGAAATGATGAGTTGGGTTTGTGAGGTGAGGGTGAGATGGAGGAGATCGCTCAGGGAAGAAATGAGAGGTTGTGGGCATTTGTGTGACCAGATTCAAAAGTTTTGCAGAGAAGACAGTGGAATGGAGACGTGCTACTGAGGCCTTGTATTCCACTAGAAACCCAAAGAACAAGCAATAAATAATATAACAAGTTAATATTTGCACGGAATAACGTTATTTAATTTCTGAGCAGAACTTTTGTTCATGATCACACTAATTGTAGAAATTATTTATTTCTATATTAGACGTTCATTGTTCTGTTAATACTCATTTCTATGTATGTACTTTGTTTGCTTTGAGGAATTACTACAGATTTATCTACTATTAACTCCAGTTTAGTGATATTATAGTTTTCTGATATTGATTTGTTTCATGAGTGTTAATCTACACTTCAGTCGTTATAATTCACATGTTTATTTATTACATCCTTTGAGTGCTATTTTACGGCAAGATATAACATCTTCTATAATTTTAGGATTTTGTCGTTAACATTAAAGTTTATTTTATGGGCCTAGAAAACTTCATTCTGACATTTCTACCTGAAGTATTATTATTTCACATCAGCGCTTTATAGTATATACATCATTTATAGTATTAATGTCCATAAGTCCATAAATCAATTTTCGTTTACTTTTCTATTACACCATTTCTTTCATTCTTTGTGCTACTTCTGAAGAATCAATTTCCACGAAGTCGTGAACTGTTGTCGCTATAGCACCACCTCTAGTAATCCTTACTTTCATATTATTATGATGTATTATTTACCCCCTGAATTCCTAGTGGAACATAAGACTTCAGTAGCAGATCACCAATTCACTCGCTTCTCTACAGTCTTCTTAACCTGTCTCAACCACTGCCTAGAAGCTTTCATGTCTACCTCACACTATCCCCTCAACGTCACCCTCAGACGCCTGACTTGTCATTTCCCATTTGGGTTCCACTCGACCTGGCCTGATGCATGACTTCCCCAATCGGTCTTCTCAGTATGTGCTTAATCCAATCCATCTCCACTTTATTCTACAGCATATCTGTTGGGCGATAGCTTCACGGTTGCATGGTTCATTGCCACACCACAGTTCCTCGTTGCTTATTCTTTATCGCCTTTTCATCTCATCTCATCTGATCTTCAATATCAAGTGAATGTACGCGACAGCTGTTCATGTCAAGTTTCTCAACTATCATATACAAGTACTGACTTACTCGACTGTCTTACTGTTAAAAATCCGGATCTTGTTCACGCTTTATACTGAGTGCAGTGCAACAGATCTCCACACTGATTTCGGATTAATCCAGGAAGGCCTGTCTAGTTGTGCTTCCGATCCCGGCTTTCACATCCTCATATGTGCTTGTGCCACTGCGTGTGATTGAAAGGATGCTGCCTTGTTTAGGTAGGTGAAAGAGACAACTTCCTTTCGATTTCTCCTGTTCATGGGGGTTGGTTGTTGTTTTTATTGATGATGATTAGCTATCTTCATCACCTCTATCTTCTCCACGTTCACCTGAAAGAAGTCCCGTCTTCACTGCCTCGCCTCTTCTCTCCTGCCAACTTGTTAGTTTTCGCCTGTACACCTTCTAGATTGTGTGACATAAGACATTAGACATAAATCATCCTCGGCGAAAACCAAATTTTCTATGGTTTTTTTATCGGTCAAACACGTATGCCCATCTTATCGCTCTTCACACTTTGTTGCTTGTTAGTTTTCTTGTAAACATATTCCAACAATTGATATGACCATAGGTAGTAGTTTTGCTCGATGCATAGACAGAATCAACGTGGAACCTAGCGCATAGCTGCACAAAATCAAGTTGCCACACTCCATACCACTATTCAAAGAACAAATGGATAGAAAACCAGTGGTATCAAGGTAGACAAAGTTGTTTGACAGAATAAACAGCTTGAAGACTACAGTTAGTGCAAATATTCAATCTTTAGGTGATGCCAAACAGTGACTACATCTGCACCTCTGAGACCAATTTTCAGCGATGTCACGAAGCCTTCTTAGGCTCTGATTCCTACCATCTTGTGAATCCCAGCCATCTAGGTAGTGTACATCTCCCTAAACGGATCAGACCAGTAGTCAGAGACTTTATCGACTAGTGTCAGGCCTTTGTCTGGCTACCATAAACCCTCTTCTAACCTTATCCAAATTCTCCTAGCATGGCAAGTCGAAGTAGGCGGTGGCTTAGCATTCGCAGTACATGTCCAAGTCATATGAGTTGACTAAGGTTCACAACCTCATCAATCGACTTGCCTGTTTTGCCTAGTACTGTTCTCCTGACCTCAACATAGGTCACACAGTGATCCCACCAAACGCGAGCAATGCTACGAAGACGCCTATAATCGAAACCTTGTAACCGCTTCATGTCTTCTACTTTCAGTGGCCACGTCTCACAGCCTTATAACAGGACAGAACGGATTACGGGTCGACACACACTTCCTTTGATAGGTCGTTGGATATCTACCCGGTGCCACATTTGACACAAGTTGGCAAATGCCAAACGGGCCTTGTGTATTGGATCTGAGATTTCGTGAGCGACCAGCTCATTCTAGTTGATGCAACTTCTAAAGCAAGTAAAACGGTCGACATATTCTACTAGTTCGTTTCCTATCCTGAAAATCGGAGCAGTTGTGAACGAGTCCTGGAGCATCATCTTACATTTGACAGATGCGAAACGCATGCCAGCCAAACATTCGCAGATTCTGGCTCAATGCGTTCAGAAAACCCTGCATTTTTTCAACGTTTTCACATAGTAGGACAATATCGTCTGCATACTCTAAATCAATCATGTGACCTCCAAGGAGTAGATCAGTCCGTATGAAGTCAGATGTATCCAAGGTTATGTTCATCAGTAGGTGGTATGAGTTGCTTGTGGTTACGCATACTTCAACTGTGGTTGTTGGACTATCGAGTATTATTGCTTGTATTACACCGTCGTTTATTTGACTGAACTGATCGGTCTGTATTAGCATATGGGCTCCTGTGCAGATGCCTCGATATAACTTGTGTTTTTATTGTATAGTAATGATGGATAGTGCCTAGCAGTGGAATCCAGGATGAGCATTTCATCCTATTTGGGACTCGTCAGCTGGATGTACCCACATCCCAGAGAGTAACGTTATTCCCACCGGGATTCAGACTCGTGAGTGGTCACTTCAAACGCCGGAGCGTTATCCACTAGACCACCGAGTCACGATAACTACTTCTTGTGCATCGGGTATGGATTTTAGTGTTACTGCTTGTATTACACCATTATCCATTAGCCACTACCCATCATTACTACATAGTTAAGATCAAAGGCAACATCGAGACATCCGCACAGGAGCCCATATGCCAACAGAGACTGATTAATTCGGTCCGATCAACGAGGGTGTAATACAAGTAATAACACTAAAGCTATACCCGTCTCACAAGAAGTGGTTATCGTGGCTCGGTGGTCTAGTGGGTAACGCTCTCACGTTTGAAGCATTCACCCCTGAGTTCGAATCCCGGAGCGAACAACCTTACCCACTGGGATGCAGGTACATCCAGCTGACCAGTGAGTCCCAAATAGGATGAACTGAGTAATCTGTGAATCGTTACGGAACAGTCCCACAGCACCATACATTGGACTAGTGACTGCGAAACACAAGCCATCATACTCAGATTTCTGTTCAGCACGTTCAAAAAACTCTGCATTTTTGTCAGAGTCTATACCCAGCTGGACAATATCGTTTGCATACTCTAAATCAAGCACATAGCCTCCAGAGAGCAGGCTAATCTTTGTGAAGTTAGGTGTACGTAGGGTTATGTCAATAAGTACGGCTATAACAAAGTTCAATGAGAATGATGACAATGGACATCCCAGCTGGATACCAATAGTTGTCTTCAATTCTGATAACAACTCTTCATGAGCCTTGATATGACTAAATGAGTTTGATTAGACAGTCTTGATGAGCATTATATACTGTCTCGGTGCTCCCTTCACAGTAAGACATTGCCAAAACATCCGACGATCGACAGAATAAGACTTCAGCTTCAGGTCCAGAATATGTCAAGCATCGACCGCCGGTAGATATATCTGTATTCCATAAGCTGTTGGAGAGTGAAGATCTGGTCGGTATGCCCTCGTCCGTGTTTGAAACCTGCATAGTTTTCAAAAACTTTGCATGCCCGGAGTCCAATTAGGCATCGGGTAACTAAGGTATTGGATAGAATATTAGTCAAACTAATTCCCCTATGTCTGTCACAGGAAAATTTTTTTCTTCTTATAGACTGGGATGATCAAAGAAGTATACCGATCTGATAACACTATCTCCAATTCCCATTCAATAACCAGTACATCAGTCACTTTATTCTGCATTTTCTTGCTTCCATCTTTGAGAACTTCAAGTGTCAGACTGACAGGTCCTACTGCTGTCTATCGTTTCATATTTGAAACATAACTAAGCTCTAATATAATCTCAGGGTGATTAGGAAGTCAAAACAGGATCTATCCGAGTGTTTTGCTGTCCATACTACAGCTTCTTCAGTCGAATATTCCGAATAAAAATCCAAATGTTCTGCTGAAGAAGCTTTGCATATACAAGGAAATACTCCAAAAATATCCTTTTTGTTTATATTAAAGCTTTTTTATGTAATGGTTAAATCAAAATGTGCTCTCAAATTCTTCCAGGACATTCGTAACAACTGTGAACTTGATATTTATACATTTACATATTTACTGAAATACGTGTACATCAGACCTAAGTAGATGTAACTGGAAACAGTATGGTTTGCTGACACTGCTTGTTACATAAGATCAATTAAGTCAATAGGAAGTATAAGAATCGTTAGTTGAAGAACCATCGAAAACCTGTAAGCACTGAATAGCTGTTTCATCCAAGCCCGGGACTCCTCAGCAGTAGGCACCTTTGACCCCATCAGGGATAGAACAGAGGATAGACCGTTGATCCATAATTTTCTACTTCTGTCTATCAGCTATATAGTATGACTATCATCTAAGGTATTCGATATGCATCCGTTTCACTTCCAAAACAGTTATTCAGTCTCCTGAGGTTTTCTATGGTCCATGATGAATACTACCTTGAAATAAGTAAGTAAAATATATGGATGTCAAGTCAGTATTGGTAGGAAAATTGAAAGGCTTGTACTTGACTTTGTAAACGTCTTTCTTATGGCTAATTTCTAGCCATATGATAATAGATGAAAATGGAGGTCTGTGACATACCACCTACTGGATAATTTGAAGTCAATTGGGGACATGTCCAACCAACTTGAACTGTTTACTGCTCCTGTCTGACTCTTCATTAAAATAATCTAACAATTCCATATTCGAGTAGGTCCTTTGAAAACGGTTTAATCCGAAATTTCCAGAATTCTAACCCCTTTGAATAAAGATTACAAAATGATACATACAACTCAATCAATACTCTAGAGTAGACGACATGAAATTTCTTGCTCTCTACAAACCGTTTACTGTTCTCACACCAGGCCTAAGTAGCTCAAAAGTGACTTAGATAACTAAAACATTTGGCGACACAGGTTCATTTCTCACAAGGGATATCAATTCTCTTGAAGTTGTAGGTACACCTTGCTGATGAGCACCAATAACTACGAAGCGGATATAGAGGTAATCTTCTCTAACCGATCGCTTCGAATCATCTAATAAAGTGATCTGATCATACTAATGAGGAAACACTACCCAATTAAAATCTATAAATATATTGAAAAAGTTCATCCACTCATGTTTTGAAGGTTCATACTACTATCAGCCTATTATGAATAGTGCTGCATAGTTATCTTCAAATTTATGCATAATCTATACGTTCCTTTGTACTGCATAAAAGACTACAAGTTTATTTATTATTTGACTCACTGAATAGGTGCCGGAGAACAATCGGATTCGATACGTCATTATTTAATTGAAGGCTTACAATCATCTGTTGGGTTACAACATGCAATCGGTGTCTCCGGAGCAATACTACCCCCTTCAAATATTCCTATGGATCATTCAGCGTTAAGTGTTACACATGAACCTGTAAGACTTCGTGGATCTTCAAATGAACCAGTATTTACAAATTTAGTTAGCTTATTATATGAGCATACAATCCAACCCTTAGCTCTACCATGCACCTTAAGATTACCTTTTAAATCACCTACTCCAACTAGTAGTCTTCCATCTCTCATAACTTTAACAAAAACTTTCCATTCTGATCGTGTGGATCGTATGTCTCCAGTTTCAATAGTCCCTAAATATGCATCACAAGTTGCTGCTTATCGTACTGGTATGTGTTTTTTTTGTTAACGATTATTTTAAACAGTTTTATTTGTATGGTGTTGATAAAATCTTGGATGAGCGCTTCTTTCTATATCGGACGCATCAGAGAGTGGTATTGTTCCCACCGAGCCTGCAGCTAACGAATCCGAAAAAGGAAGAAACGCGCATCCTAGATTCTACTGCTAGCCAGTATCCAGCATGAATGCCAAAATCGAAAATATAGGCAGTATTCAGGCATCTATGCACGAGGTCATATTGCTTATAGAGGCCAATCAGTTAGGTCAAATCAACGACAGAAAATCATAAGAAGTAACATTTTCATTTGAATACATGAAATTCGTACTGATTATCATAATATGAAGCGTCTTGTTTACGCAAAATACAATTCTTTTTATACTGGGTGATGATTGAAGGTCAAAGGAAAATTTGAACCGAGGTTGGATTCGAATGAGCGACCATCCGGTTTCTGGTCCGATACTCTACCAACTCACCTACAAGGCCCAACTGCTGATGAAATTTTTTTATATTTCACTTCATTCGCCACAGATTTTACACAAATACCATGTGAATTCGTGACGCATTACTACAGCTTGATCGTATTCATACTGGTTGCCCACAGTCAGGACTTCTCATCCCAATCCAAATCTAACTGAATTAGAATGAGAGGTGATGCACCATGTTGATTATTATTTGACTCTCTGAGATATCAGCCGTGGTTTGGCAAACTAGTATTTATACCGGATGATGATTGAATGGAATCCAAAGGGAAAACAACGAGAGTGACATGGAGGAGATCATGTGAAGAAGAAATGAAAGCAATCGTGGAGCTAGGTTCAAAAGATTACAGAGAAAAGAGTGCAGTGGTGATGTGCCACTGAAGCCCTATGTTCTACTAGGAACCCAAAGGGCAAATAACAATAATAATAATAATGATTGAATATGAAATGAAAATTTGAACCAAAGCCCGATTCGAACCAGGGACTAGACACTATGCTGTCGAAGTCTTTGTGGTTAACAAATATTACTTATATAATTCCATGCACTAAGAGAAGAATAACCACTCCTGTTGTATTCACATTAGTGAATCCATGATTTCTTTCAGTAGTATAAGTGTCATAACAATTTAATCACTTCCATTCAAATTACAAAGACAAATAACTTGCCCTGGTTTCAAACTGCACTCATCAAACAAGACAGACAGACAAGATTAACTCAGAACATCGTATACAGGTGCATCATTTCAATTTGCCACACTTCACAGTAGTATAAAAAGAACAAACATCAAAGTAGACAAAGGTGTTTGGGAGAAGAAGGAATTTGATAATTAAGGTTAGTTAAAACATTTAAGCTTTAGACGAAGTCAAAGTATGAATACATCTGCATCGCTGTCATCAGTTTTAGCCATTTCACTAAGAGTCTTCAGGTAGTCTAAACCTTCCTACACATCTCAAATCAACAGCAAGGGAGTTCATGCACCATCAAAGAAGAAGTGATTATAACAACTCAGTAGACCAAGTGAATAACATCTTGATATTTGAAGTTGTTCTCGTGGGAACAAACTATCTTACCGAGAGGTAAATGCGCCTAGATAACGAATAACAAACGGAACTAGATGTCCATCCTACATTCCTCCACTACCCACTTCCCATCGCTAACTAGTAAACCACTTCATTAAAATACTTCGCAAGAAATCCTTAAAAAACTAAGCTATCTTACCAGTCAAACAACTTGCATTATGGGTGATTGAACTATCTGACTTCTTATGCCTCGATATTTTCAACAAGCATGTAACTTGTAAACCATCAGTTAAAAGTTGCTTGTTTAGACCAATTAGTCACAGATTTATCTATAATGGTGTAACAATAACTAAGTCTGATGGAAAGCCCTATAAACTATCAAGAAAAATAAGAAAAAAATCTTATCTAGATGTGTGAGAAATATTAGTTCCTGTGGAATTTACAATATCTCATTTTGTAAACTTGCATAGGCAATTGAACTCTGCGAACACAAATGAGAGGAATTCCTCAACGTATAAGTGATTATTTATTCGCTACAGTATTAAAAGCATGTCGTTAAATATGATATGTGCTTCGCACCATTGATTTCCAAAATACTCTCACAAGATTGGAAGGAGACCGTGCTTACGCTCACCCTCGGTGGTGTGCCATTGGAAGTAGTCGAAAAGTTTTTTGTGTATCTGGGTAGTAATGTCAGTGTTGGTGGGGGTGTGAGGAATGAATTTTCTAACAGCATACAGAAAGGCACAGTGGCATACGCCAATATGAGCCGCCTTTAGCTCCGTCGTAATGTTAGTCCGACCGTAAAACGTAGGATTTACAGCGCTTCGGTGCTAGCGGTTCTGCTCAGCGACTCTGAAATTTTGTCTCTTCGACCTGAGGATGGGCAATGACTGTGTGTTTGATCATCGTTACCTTCGTAGGACTGCTCGTAGTATCTAAGTAATTCTAAGGCATAACAACGTCTGTTTAAGTATGATGGAGATCGTCATTGAATAAGTGAAGTCATCTGGAAACACCGGCTTCGGGTGCTTGGAAATGTGTTATGCATTTCGTCCCAACGCCTTCCGTACCGTTCATGGTTTGCTAGCCCTGAGACTGGGGGGGATGTTGAGGGGTCTTTAGAGTATGAAGTGGTACCGTAGGTGAAGAGTAGTTGTACTGGGTGTAGCATCTGTTGGTGTATCACGACTCCCCGAGTCGGGGTCCGTCTCAGTGGCTTCAGACGTTATCAGATACGGCTCAGAATAGGAACCAGTTATGATCATGCTTCTGCTGTTGAAAAGTAATGAATGTTTTGTTTATTTCTGAATGTATCTTACTGGACTGTCAGTCTAATCATGCTATACTTGCTGCGTTTTTCTTTCTTACTTATCCAGTTTCCATCGCTTTGTATCTTCACAATGTTTTTATATCATTTTGTATGGCGCACTTCTTGGTGCCCTTGCTGTACCATATTTTGTCCTGGTAATAATAATTATGATAATAATGAAATGAACGACCTCAAGTTTATGTGCAACCTCAATAGTTATTGTGATCTTGATTGGAATATCTGCTGATCATCAAGAATGTTGACCAAATATTTGTCTGTTTTTGTGGTTTAGTTCCCTCCAGTACAGTTTTCCTTCTGTATTAAAAAGTCGATCATTAACTAAAAGTTTTGAACGCGAACTATACAGATGTCCCATACTGATCAGTGAAAACCAACTTACCTGTGAGAAATGTGGAAAATAACTGGGCACCTTTCTTAAGATTATTTCAATAACGTTCATTCACCAGTACTGCTCGTTCTACAATCGATAGATTATTTTGTCAGCTTTCAGAGTTCAGTAGTCTTAACAGACAGATAAGATTAGTATGTGACCTGGCACTACTGCATAACTGTGTAATTTGCTAGACTCCATACCAGCAAATGAAGCAAGACCGCACTGAATTGGAGGCTCGAGAAAAGAGAGGAAAGAGGTCAGAATTAGTAGAAAGTCATCAAGGAAGAATAAAATAATACTTTGGCTCAACATAAAACGATTAACATGAAGAAAATGTGTTGATCCATCTGCACCGTTAGGATTGATTCTGGGCCGTACCATCTAGAGTCAAAAACGACTGATTTCTGCTGTCAGGCAGACGTCAACTAGAAAGTCTACATTTCCCTACACGGTTCAGACGAACAGTCAAAGATTCCAGGGACTATTGCCCTGTTTTAGTCTACCAGACTCAACATATTTCAGCGAACATTGCCCAAAGCGCCAGATTGTGGCTAGGCATGCATAACACATATCACAGTCAGTCATCTCAGTCCATCAACGTTCATAACCACAAAAACCATCTAAACCTCTCCTCCACAAAACCATCCACTTGAATTAGGCCTTACTCATGTCGTCAGTCCACGAAACACGGTCTGTAATATGAAGGCAACGGTGGTCAAACACCTGAAGACTTCCCACATCTTCTACCCTCAATGACAGTGTTTCAACACCACACAGTAGAATGGAGCAGACTGTAGCACAGTACATTCGGGCCTCAATAGACAACTGGACATCACGATGGTGCCACATATGGTGTAAGTTGGTAAACGTCAACTGAGCCATTTGTATGTGAGTATAGATTTCATCCCAGGGTTGATCCAACTTTCTCGGTAATTGAAGTGTTCAGTGCACTCAATCACTTCACTCTGTATTGTTATTTGGAGTACTGTTGAAGACCAGTCCTAAAGCACCAGTTTGCATTTGGATGACAAAAAGCGCATCCCAAAGCATTTCTAATGCTCATTCTTCATCTTTTCAACGTTTTCATGTCACAGGAATACGTCATTGGTGTACTGTAGATCGACAAAGGATTCATCTGTGACAATATCAATCCCTCTAAAACTAGACAGTACCAGGGAGACATCCACAAGTATATCTATGAACAATTTGAATAATGAAAAAAATGTTACGTACTTAAAAATCGATACATTTCATACTTTAAGCTTATTCTATTCCCTTTATCTACTCTATTGTTTGTTAAAATTTGTTTTTCTGATGGATAAATGATTTTTTGAAAAACATTATGATTTAAAATTTTTTTAGCCCAAGAAAGTCCTCATGACTTTCAAAGACTGGAACGATCTCAAGGTGTTTTACTCCGGCATCCATCAGACCCACTGCCTGCTGACTCAGGTTCCTATGAAATGGAGTCATACTATCCATCATCACAACAAGCTGGAATGCCTCCACTACCGCCTAGCATGCATCATTCAGCAAGACAGGATGGTCTTCTTGTGCCTTCTTCAAAGGCTAAGCATAGTAGATCACCACCAGTAGTGTATGAAGGTGAAATGGGACCGATTGGCCCACCTGATGGCGGAAAAAGTTAGTTATATATATATAATCATTATTATTGTTTGTCCCCTGAGTCCCTAGTGGAACATAAGGCTTCAGTAGCACAGCGCCATTTCACTCTCTTCTCTCCAGTCTTCTAACCTGGCGCCACCACTGACCAGAAGCTCTCATCTCTTCCTCAGGCCATCTCCTTCATGTCACCCTCAGACGCCCAACCAACTCATCACTTTCCATTTCGGTTCCACTTGACGACCTCGCCTGACGCGTGATGTTCCCAATCGATCTTCTGAGTGTATGCCGATCCCATCCATCTCCATTTTCTTCCGCATACTTCTTAAGCGATGGGTTCTTGGTTGCTTGGTTCGTTGTCAGGCCAGAGTTCCCCTTTGCTTATTCTTTCTCGCCTTCTCATCTGATCTTCATAATGCAGTGAGTGTAGGCGGTAGCTGTTCCTGTATGTCAGCAGTTTGTTGCAAATACTTTCCGTAACGCGCCAAGTCTCTCAACCATCACATCGAAGCACTGACTTACTTGACTGAATTAGTGTTGAAAACTCGGATCTTGTTCATGATTTATGCTGAGTGGGGTGCAGTGCAGTAGATCACACTTATTTCGGATTAATCTAGAAAGGCCTGTTATGCTGTCTTTCCTATCCTGGCTATCCCATCATCATCTATGTCGCTGCCTCCGCCTGTAGTCTAGAGGATGCTGCCTAGGTAGGTAGGTGAAAGAGGCAACTTACTTCAAATTTCTCCCTTTGACGGATATATATATATATATATATATATATAAGCATAAGATGATGAGTCTCATATTCCGTAGATAATTTTTGGAAATATCTATTAACTAACAGTTGTTCAGGAATAGAGATAAGAAACCTATTAATAGTCTGTCTGCCATGATGGTTAGCTTGTGTAAGTATTTCGTATAAGGTGTTTGGACAACGACTTACAGATGGATAAGGCTTAACCGAAATAAAGAATTTTGTTGTTTGTAAACAGTAGACGGACAAACAGTAAATTTTTGCCTACCATATTAACTGTCTACTTATAAAATGAAGCATAGATAGGCTGTTTTATTTAGATTTGTTTTGAACAAAACAGCTAGCTGGTATAAACAACAGATAATCCTTGTGATTATTACAGCCTGAACCTTTGAGTACTGTTTTTTACACCATCTGTCACCCGATAACAACTGAACGGGTTTAACAACAGTTTATCGCTTTCTTAAATTATAGCTTAGAAACATTTTTTTGGGATGGTTCTCGTATAAAAATATTTAATTACATCAATACCGAGATGTTCAAGGAAGAGGACTTTGTCCAATGAATTTATTCACCAGCTGTACATTGGTATATATATAATCCATGAGGAAAATAAAACTCCCGTAATCGGAGATTGGAATAACAGCAATAATGATAGTTAATATAACAATAGAATTATTATTTGACTATCTGAGATAGCCAAAGTTTGGCAGACTAGTATTTATACTTGGTGATGATTGAAGGTGAAATGAGAATTTGAGCCGTGGCCGGACTCGAACCAGCCACCATCGGGTTTCCGGCTCGATGCTCTACCAACTGAGCTATGAAGTACAACTGCGGACCGGATTTTTATTTTACTTCACATGATAGTCAGGCAACTCCAGCGATGATTGAAGTGAAACCAAAACTATCTGGTCAGCAGTCGGACCTCGTTGGTGAGTAGTTAGAACATCGGGCTAGAAAGCCGATGATCGCTGTTTTGAATCGGGCTGTGGTCCAAATTTTCATTTCACTACTGTGTGATTGTATACGATTCCATGAATAACTGGTCAACTACTTTGACCTTACAATCATCACAGGTAATTCGGTAAACTAAATTACTCTGCCTAATTGAATCGATAGGTACTTTGAACCTAAAAAACTTCTTTGTGAGTCGTCAGGTTAAAATGCCACTTTATTCCCAGTCTTATTGAGAACCCTGCTTAATATCTCCGAGGTGCTTTCCTTGTATGGTAATACTACTATTATTATTATTATTTGTCCCTTGGGTTCCCAGTGGAACATACGGCTTCAGTAGCACGCTTCCATTTCACTCTCTTCTCTGCAAAACTTTTGAATCTGGTCACACGAATGCCCACAACCTCTCATTTCTTCCCCGATCGATCTCCTCCATCTCACCCTCACCTCAGACGCCAACTCGTCCTTTCTCATCTGTGTTCCATTTGAGTGCCTGGCCTGGTGCGTCATGTCCCCAATCGACCTTCTCAGTGTATGCCCAATCCATCTCCACTCCCTTCCACTGTATATTTGTTCAGCGATAGGTTCTTGCTTCGCTGGTTCGTTGCCAGCCAGACAGAGTTCCTTGTTGCTTATTCTCATTGTTCTGGCCATCTCAGCTTCAGTAACGAGCCAGAGTAAGCAGTTGTTGATGAATATCTATAGTTTGTTGGAAATCCCTTTCATAATGCGTCAAGTCTCTGAACTGTCACATGGAAGCACTGACTCACTTGACTGCATTAGTGTTGAAAATCCAGATCTCGTTCAGGTTTTATGCTGAATGCAGTGAAGTAGATCTGCACACTGGTTTCAGGTTAATGAACGCCTGTCTTGCTGTTTTTTGGATTCTGGCTGATTTGACATCCTCGTGTGTGCCACCGCTGCCTGTAGTTGAAACGATGCTGGCTTGCCCAGATAGTGAAAGAGGCTACTTCCTTTAAGTTTCTCTCGTTGATGGTGATTGGAGCTTGTTGTTGTTGCTGGTAGTGTTGGTGTTGGTTGGGTATCATCATCACCTCTGTCTTCTCTATATTCACTTGAAGTCCCGGCTTCGCTGGTAATACTACAGAGGTTTTGAATTCTTTCTTCAAAGTGCCGTTTATATTATTATTAACATCTGTGTTAGCAGTATTAGTCATATTTTTCTTACGATTACTAAGGACTTAATTGTCCTAAATGTGTTTTGCTAATAATTTTCTTTCCTCCCCCCCTTACTCAAACATTTTACCAAACCAACTTCAACTGACAAAGGGTGAGATGATTTGAAGTTTATGCAACTATTCCAGCGTGAAGGTTTACTGTAAACACTAGTATCTAAACTCCCACACGAAACTACTAGCGGAAGAAAACAGACGTAGTATAGATTGTGTAAAAGTTGAACTTGACTTATTTCAATGTACGTTTGAGGGAAATGACAACCTTAAGTATGTGTAGTCGGTCATCAACTCAATTTCTATAAACTATTCATACTGGGTGATGATTGAAGGTGGAATTAAAATTTGGACTACAATGCAATTCGACAGCGACCACTGGATTTCCGGCCTGATATTCTACCAACTAACCTACGAGGCCTGACTGCTGACCAGATTTTTTTTATAAATTAACTTCATTCGCCACGGGTTTTGCACAGCTACCATGTGAATTCGCGATGCATTACTACCGCTTGATAGTACTCACACTGGCTGCCGACAGTCAAGACTTCTCATCCCAATCCAAATCTAACTGAATTAGAATGAGAGGTGGTGCATTACATTGATTATCATTTGACTATCTGAGATACCAGCCGTGGTTTGGCAAACTAGTGACTGAAGTGAAAAATAATCTGGTCAGCAGTCGGACCTCTTAGGTGAGTTGTTAGTGCATCGGGCTGGAAGCCTGGTGGTCGTATGTTCGAATCCGGCCACGGTCCAAACTTTCATTTCACTTTCAATCATCACTCAGTATAAATACTAATCTGCGAAACCTCGGCTATCTCAGATAGTCAAATCGTAAACCATTTGTTCATGGATCCAGAAGTCAAGAGTGAAGAAACATCGAATATCCCTAAAAGTTGCCTTCTGATGCCAATTAGCAGGAAATTCTTCGCAGCTAAACTTCACTTAACCTTTACTAGCCATAAATTGTTAACCATATGCATAAAAGACAACAGTTGTCAACAGGCCACCTCCACGTGAGTCTCCTGGTTCACCTACTCCTGTGGAGTAAGACACAATAGCCGTAACTAGAGACAGCTGCCAAAATGTATACGAGAACATATTTTAGCCTGCTTTGAGAAGCGCGGAAGGAAGTGCATTTGAAGTTCTATCTAGTCAACTCCTGCCATTCAACTGACGTAAACAATGAATTTAATGCTGTTCATGGAATTCTTTCAAATTCACTTTCTAAAAAGGTCCCAACTGCTGGTGTGATCACCGAAAGTAACTTTGCTCAAAATATTACCAAAATCAAAAAAGAAATTGTCATCGTATATAATCTTACTATGATAAAACGTTTATCAATACCGGATTAACCTATTCCGGAGTAAATCATTTTACCTTTGTTATTTAATGTTGCTATTATATTCATCTCGGTGACTACTAGTGGAATCCAAGACGTACGTTCTGTTCTGTTTGGGACCAACTCGTCAGTTGGATATACCTGCACCCCAATGAATATCCTTGTTCTCAGTGGGACTCGAACTTAGTACCCAGTGCCTAAAAGATCCTGGTGTTATCCACTGTTATGCAAATACACCACACTGAGTAACCCAGAAGTCAGGTGTAGAGTTGTAGGGACAAGAGGAAAGTCTGCTGACACGGCTGTGAACTTTCATCCACTGAGATGGCTAAACATGTGTCACTTATGCCTAATCTCTATCTGTCTCATCATACAATGTTGGCCGAAGTAGGTTCAGGCTGGAAACAGGCCCGATGCTGACAGACTTAAACATGGCATCAATGTGTGAAGTCGTTGGCTGTTGGTTTGAGCCATGTGCGGTGATGTAGACCATCCAGTTAGGGTTCACAGGACAAGAGAAATAAATGATATGGCTCAGAACCGACGTCAGTAGTGCAGATGTATAAATATATTATCCTCATCTTAACGCTACACTGAACCTCACCATTTTCTTATCGTTCATTCCTCTCTTTTATTTCTTTATATTTCTTCTGATCGAACTTTGTTTTCTTCATCTTCCACTTTACTGCCTTTTTACTTGATGTACTGATATGAGCTTTGGCAACTCAGACCGTTACGCAGTAATGCCTGGTCCTATGTTGATTTGGATGGATGATGTATGGACTGGTATGCAAGAGCCGCCTCTTATACAATGGGTATCACCTGTTGTTTTATGATACTTGTAATTCCCCACTGCTAGTTCATGACATTTGGGTTGAATGATGAGAAAGAGGGTTTCCGTAAGCTTTTAAGATTATTCATAGGGTACATATAACTTATAAAGGGGTGAATATATCGGAGAGGTAATAATCAAACAAAGGATTGGGAAATATATGAATAAAGCAAGCTAACTGCTTCTTAAAAAGCTGCAATTACTGGGAAGAGTAAATGAAGAAACAACATCATCATCAACATAGAACTAGGCATTACTGTGCATCGGTCCAAGTTACCACACCTCATGCCAGCACATCAGGTAACAAGGCAATGAAATGGAAGATGGAGAAAGAAGTAAAAATCAGTCAAAGAAAGTAGAAAACAGTAAAGACAAAGTAGGAATAAGGAAATGATGAGATTAGGTATGGCGGTTAACATGAGGATAATATGTGTATGCATCCGTACCACCGACATCGATTCTGAGGCATGTCGTCACCTACAGTCTCCAACTACTTGTTTCTCTTGTCCCACGGACCCCAACCAGTTAGTCTACATCACCATACATGGTTCAAACGAACAGTCAATGATTTCATGCGTTGATGCCATGTTTTGATCTGGCCATCCAGAGCTTTTTTCCAGCCTGAACCTACTTCAGTCAATAATGTGTAACGAGATAGATGATGATTAGGCATGCATAACACATATCACAGTCAGTCATCTCAGTCCATCAACGTTCATAACCACAAAAACCATCTAAACCTCTCCTCCACAAAACCATCCACTTGAATTAGGCCTTACTCATGTCGTCAGTCCACGAAACACGGTCTGTAATATGAAGGCAACGGTGGTCAAACACCTGAAGACTTCCCACATCTTCTACCCTCAATGACAGTGTTTCAACACCACACAGTAGAATGGAGCAGACTGTAGCACAGTACATTCGGGCCTCAATAGACAACTGGACATCACGATGGTGCCACATATGATGTAAGTTGGTAAACGTCAACTGAGCCATTTGTATGTGAGTATAGATTTCATCCCAGGGTTGATCCAACTTTCTCGGTAATTGAAGTGTTCAGTGCACTCAATCACTTCACTCTGTATTGTTATTTGGAGTACTGTTGAAGACCAGTCCTGGAGCAACCATTTGAATTTGGGTGGAGAAAAATCCATGCCAAATAATCTCAAATTGCCAACAGCTCAGACTGGCTGGTTGCTGACGAAATCTTAAGTTGAATGTAGAATGCCAATTTGACATTTTACAACTTGCGTCACCTATGGCGTTGGCAAGGTATCCGGCTATCTATCAAAGGATGAGTATACTGCGCTGTAGTCCATTCTGTCCTGTTGTACGGCTGTGATACATGGTCATTATAAGTAGGAAACATGAGGCATTTACATTTTTCGACCAAAGGTGTCTTCGTAGCATTGCTTGTGTTTAGTGGAATCTCCATGCAAGCAACGTTGAGGTCAGCCGAAAGGTACTAGGCAAGACAGCTAAGTCAAATGATGAAGTTGTGAACCTTCATCGACTCAAGTGGCTTCGATGTTTTTGCACAAGCCAAGCTTCCGCCTACATCAACGAACCATATTAGAGGAAGTTGGATTAGGATTGGAAAGGGTTCAGGGTGGCCAGACCAAGACATGTACTCGTCGATGAACTCCCTACTTGTCGGCCTGGGCCGTGTGGAGAGAGGTAGACTGTCTGGTTGGGGTCCCCAAGATGAAAACGACCACTGGTTGAGGACCGTTAGTGACATGGCTGATAATCGTTTAAAATGGCGCAGAATTATTCACTCCATGAGATCTTCTAAAGCTTGAATATTGACACTAAGCTTTATCTCCAGATTGTTTATCCTGTCATACAACTTTGTTCACTTTGATATCGCTCGTTTTCTATCCACCTATTCTCTGTGTATTTCTGTGAAGTATTGTAACTGGAGCCGATGCACTCCTGTGTGCGAGATCGAACGTTGATCCTGTCAGTCAGTCAGTCAGTCAGTCAGTCAGTCAGTCAGTCATATGAATAGGGAATGACAAGGATCATCAAATAAGTAAGATACAGTCAACAAAAATGAGGTTAGTTGTAATCATGCTAGTAGGAGAAACAGCTATTCCATATGACAGTGAAGGAAAGAAAATCACCACTTCAAAGTGGGAAATACTTCTAGGAAAAAAGATGAATCTGATTTCACCAATCAGTACAGATAATCTTTATTGCTTCTGATTGCATCTCTTCTAACAACGAAGTAAAACACACTGTGGAGCATATACCTAAGGAACAAATACCACTGATTGCCTTAATTTATAACTTGGTAGTCACATACTCTACTGTCAATAAAAAAGCTTACCAGGCAAGATATGGTTAAATTTTCCAGCTTAAATAAGCATCCTAACTTTACGCATAATTTACTATTAGCTAGTGAACAAATACTTCCTGCTGGTAATTCTACCGAGTAGATTGACCGCTATTGCTTTGCGTTACTTTGTATAGATGCCTCAGTAATGCTGGTAGGTAGTGGTAAGCAGTGGAAGAAATGTGTGTTCGTCTTCTTTATGACTCATCAGCTGAAGTTACACGCTTCACAGTGAGTCAAGTCTTATCCTCTGAAGGTCAGGGAAATCCAGAACGCATTACTTCAATCTGCAAAGTTAAGACAACCACTTTATGTGTAGAGTGTAATTCCATACCTAGTCATTTACTATATATTGGTTAGCAGTGGAAGCGAGGAGGTGTATTTTATCCTATTTAGGAGCGACTTGTCAGTTGGACATACCTGCATTCCCGTTGCTATACTGGGATGAAATGCGCTTCCCGGATTCCACTACTAGTCACTATCCATCATCAATATATAATTGAAACACATGGAATATTGAGATATCTGCGCAGAAGCCCATATGCCGATAGAGACCAGTCAATTCAGTCCACTCAATGATGAGATAATGCAAGGAATAGCATTAATCCATATAATTTATACTTGAGTTTATGATTGGATAGTTCAGCTGTCAAGCCCCTACGATTTCAGAACTAGCTGAAATACTTTGATCAAGTTTTTAATGTCGTAAAAGTGTCTTTTGTCTTTCCACGCACTCTTCTTCACTTCTTTGTCCACTGCAGTGTTTTATACATTGTACTTAGTTCCTCTTGTCGTTGAGCATCCTTGCACTGGTTTATCTTCTGCTTCATCATCCTCCTCTCCTCTATCAGCTTCCATGTATCCGTCTAGATACATTCCTTGTCTTCTTTCTTCTTCCTTCCTAATACGGTTGTGCAGGTTTCTTTCCACATCTCTTTCAAAGACTTCCAGTGTTCATCCACACAAGTTTCTTCAGGGATATTGCTCGATATCTCCCATTTTGTCTTGATGGCTGTCGTGAAGATATCCTTTGTAGTTTTGTCCTTCAGTTTCTGGGTGTTGAACTTGAATTGTGGTCCATCACCAACTTCTTTGAAGGCTTCCAACTTGATTTTGAAGGAAGGCTGCTTGCACTAGATAGTGAGTGGTTTGAACCCACATATGCTCCCCTTCTTGATCTGATCTTGTGTCCAGTAGGCTGCATCTCCACTTTCTTCACATTGAGATGAAGTCGATCTGATTTTTAGTGTCCATCTGGTGAAATCCATGTCGCTCACTTTGTGAATATCCTTGTGTTTGTACGCAAAGCCTTCAATCACCAAATCATTAAATGCGCAGAAGTCTGCAAACAGTTCTCCATTCTCATTCATTTCACCGAGTGCTTCTCAACCCATGATCAGTTCTCTTCCTGTGTTGTCCGCTCCCAGTTTGGCATTCATGTCACCCTACCCATTGGAATGTTGATGTCGCTATCTTGGGTGGGGCCTTGTCTAGTACTGATCGCAGTTGTCTGTAGAATTCCTCCTTCTCTTGATCTGCATTATTTGTAGGTGCATAGTGTAGCATTGTATCACTGTGACCTTCCTTCCTTTTGAGTTGAATCTTGCTGTCATGGTGCTGATGCTGGAGGAGATTTGTTCCCGCTGTATGAGAGCCTTCGATGCTCTTGGGGACATTATGATAGCCACTCCAAAACTCAGTGTACACGTGATTGTCGTCTGGGTGACAATATTCGAGTAGGTTAATGACTCTCTATTTAAAAGTTTGGAGAGTCCACTTCCATTCCATCTGCTTTCGCACATTCCAAGCACTTCTATGCCATACCTCCTCATCTCTTTTGCAATCTGAGAAGCCTTGCTAGGTTCAAACATTTTGTGGACATTCCATGTCCCCATCCTTACTTTCGCTTTCATCGAGAGAAGAAAAGACACATTGGCCGACTGGCTTCCCGAAGGCTTTCACCAACCGGCGTCATTTCGTCCCTCCAACTGCAGAGAGAAATAGGTTAATTTTTATTGTTTTATATTTCCTCTGTGCTTTGAGGTTTCTTTAACAATTGGATTGATTTTAGGGGGTAGAGTTGCTAGCCATATGCCCAACCTTCCCTCTTTATGAGGGTTTAGGACCGGCTAGTAACTAGTGAACTAGTTAACCATAAGTCTATGTGCCTCAACTTTGCAGTGCAATATATTCTGGTGTTAAACACTAAGAGCGAATCAGCTCAAAAGTGAGATTGAGAGTGTCATCTTGAAAATTTTCTTACTCCTAATATTTCTCAATATTTTGACCAATTTGAAACAGTTACGTCTGTATGTTTGCATTATTTAATTACAGTCATGTATACCATTTATTTTCATAGCATTTACATCCATTTATCTGGGAAGTATTGATACCGAAAATCTAACAGGATCTTCAGCCATCCGTAAAGCAGTTGATGTCCTGCTGGAAAATGCATCTCAGGTATGTCATCACTTACTTATCTATGACATGGATGTTTTTTATTCATTTGAATATTTTTCTGTTTCACGTTTTAAGGTGTTACCAGTTATACAGACATTCCTCATCTAAAAGTAATTTCCATCCACTGGCAAACATTTCCATGAAAATGACACAATTTCTCATGCCATGTCCAGGGAATACGTATATTCCTTCTAGACTTCATAGCATTAGTATGCAAAGTCGGTTTCTGTACAGCGAAGAAATTCCTCTAGTCATAACTCTTCTATTTTCATCTCATCATCCTTTATGTAAGCGTATTTTGTCCTCACAGAGAGGAAAATCAGTCGCTTTTTGGTCATCTTCCGTATGAATATCGTTTAAAACAAATGCAGCTGTAATAACCCAACTGTTTTTCTTACAATAAAACAATCAACAACGTTTTCAGTGACATCAAATTCACAATGAAGAAGGAGTTAAACAACCAACTACCATTCCTGGATGTTTTAGTCAGCAGGACAAATACCGGAAAGCTGAAAACCCAAGTGTACAAGAAGCCAACACGCACTCATCAAATACTCAAAAACAACCGAACAACACACAAAATTACTTGCATGCAGACTCTGTTCAGAAGAGTGAGAACACACTACACCTCAATACAACAACTTCACAGAGAAACCAAGAAAATTACTTGATGTCCATCCTAAAGAAGAACGGCTACCGACGAATCTTCTAATCTCTGAATCACTGCTTCTACAAGTAGTCTGGATATTGCTGACCCCATTGGAGTTCCTTTCATTTGTTTGTATATCTTGCCGTTGAATTGGAAGCATGTTGTCATACAAAGGTCGATAAGTACCATCAGACTTGAACATTTGTGTTTTGTGCGTCCTGAAAGGTTTCCGTCTTCATTGAGCAGGAGAGACATCGCTTCCTTGACCAGTTGAAGTTCGATGGATGGATCCATCCTAAACAAGAACGGCTACTCATGAAACTTTATCAGAAGATGCCTATCTTGCACATCATCAACTACAAAGCCACCGACAGAAACCAACGAACGCACCATCCTACTAGACACAAAGAGTATATCAGAAATCACGATAAGGTTAATGAGACCACTTGGAGGAATCGGTATGACCACTCATTAACCAACAAATTCCCTCTAAACCACATTATGCAGACCGAAGGATGCAACAACCAAAGAAGACAAACCAAATATCATTTACAAAATCGACTGCACTAACTGTAGTCAACATACCAGATTGAACAAAGTGGTCACCCACCTTCACCTCCCTTCACATGAGAACACCAATTGGCTATTAAACATCACACACGACATTTCACCACTCGTCGCTCAATCCACGTGGATAACAACTGTGGACATGAATTCAATTTTGACAATGTAGAAATCTTCGATGGAGAGAGGAGACACAGCGAATATCAGAGAATTCTTAGAAGCTTGGCATTCACGTCAGTCAGTCAGCAATCAACAGATGTATAGACATATACCCAATCTACCAACTAAAGTGATAAGTGACAGAAAGATGAGAGGTCAAGTAGAGGAATAGCCAACAGAAAAATCTATGCCGTCAGTCAATGACACAACAACCAAATGAAACGACCAGTCACAAACCAGTTGGTCAGGGCAAGCTACTAAATCACTCACGGAGAGATAGTGACAGGTCACTTCTTCATACTGAAGTGAGTGCTGATTATGTCTTCCAGGAGAAAGACGATGGAAGCTTCACGATTAAACAACCTAGCTCAGACAACACAATGTAACCAAAAACAATAGTTATAGTTGGGCACCAATAAAACCAAATATGGACAGATACAATGCGATAATGTGTGAATATGCATTAAATTCTACGCATGATCTCTATACAGAACCATTAATCAGGTCTAAGTGTAGACGATAAAACAGTAGACTGAAATTGTTATGATATACTACTATTCAAGTTGTTCAATAGTAGTACATTCCTCCAGTTCATCACACTTTTGTACCTTGTGATCTTGGCTGGTTTCTAACGATAACCTTGGTGACATTAAAGTTGGTCAGATGAGAAACCATTCAACTGTGTGAGAATAATTAACGTGAACCGTGAAATTTTTAAACAGTTTTGCAAACTGAAAACAGTTGGTGACCAGCATTAAAATGAGCCAGGAAGATTGTGAATTTTTACTGCTGAAAATAATTTGCTAAGCAATGCAGTGGTGACCAGTGTATGAAAACAAGGTCAAAATAAAGAAAAACCTATTTTACTCCTTTTGGTGACTAGCCATGGAATCCACTACGTGCATCTTGTCCTATTTGAGACCAACCTGTCAGTTAGATGTACCTGTACCCCGGTTAGTGGTGTTTTTCCCGCTGAGACTTGAACCTGGTACCCATTGCTTCAAATTCCAAAGCCCTACTCATTAGACCATTGGAGCACAAAAGCCACCTCTTGTCCAATGAGTATCATTTGTTTTTGTTTTTGTCCGATACTAGGAATTTTCTGTTGATGTACTCAGTCGACTTGCCCGACATTTGTTAGCAGATGGACGCCTATAAAAATGCCTTGATATTACTGATTTATCATGATATTGTTTTCATCTTAGTGACTAGAAGTAAAATGTATCACGCGCATTTCGTCAGCTGCAGATACCTAGACTTCACTGAGAGAGAATATAAGCGAGTTTATCCTAGAAATGTGATGTATTTACACAATACCTCCCAAACAATTTGGCCACCATATACTTACGTTTAACAAACTGTCTTTTATAAGTGAATGTTCAGAAGTTGGATGGTATGTATCCAGTCTCACAGAGACTATATCCTCCTCATTATTACTTTCAAAGACTTGCCGACAGAGGAAATTTATCTTCAGAGTACACAGTGAACAACCACCTTTTTTCTTAATAATAACTATGATAATCAGTTTACTCCAAACAATATGTTTGATACAGCATGCGATTATCATCTTGTAATGGATTTCAACCAATTTGGTTTTTATATTCTTAAACGAAGTAATTATTATATCCTAGAAATATTATATTTATCCTTTGTATTCCTAGTGGAACATAAGGCTTCAGTAGCACGTCACTATTTCACTCTCCTCCCTCCAGTCTTCTAAACCTGGTTCCACCACTGCCCATAACCTTTCATTTCTTCCTCACGCCATCTCTTCCATGTCACCCTCAGACGCCTAACTAACTTGTCGCTTCCCAATCGGGTTCCACTCGATGACCTGGACTGGTCTGATGCCTGATGTCCCTAAACCATCATCTCACTCTATGTCCAATCCAATCCATCTCCACATTCTTATGAATACTTGTTGGGCGATAGCTTTTTGGTTGCTTGGTTTGTTACCAGGCCATGGTTCCCCCTTGACTATTCTTTCTGGCCCTCTCGTCTGATGTGATCTGATCTTCAGTATCTAGTGAGCGTATTTGGCAGCCGTTCATGTATATCTACAGTTTGTTGGAAATGCTTTTTATAAGGCGCCAATTCTCTCAACCATCACATAGAAGCACTGACTTACTTGACTGAATTAGCGCTGAATACCCGGATATTGTTCACGCTTTATGCTGAGTGCAGTACAGTGTTGTGCAGTAGATCTTCAACCTGATTTCAGATTAATGAAGACCTGTTTGGCTGCCTTTCCGGTCCCGGCTTTGATTTCCTCATCTGTGTCGCTCCCTGTAGTTGAGAAGATGTTGCCTTGTTTAGGTAGGTGAAAAAGACAACTTCCTTTCGATTTCTCCCGTTAATGGTGATTGGCGCTTGTTGTTGTTGTTTAGTTGGGTATCTTCATTACCTCTATCTTCTTCTTCTTCTTCTCTACGTTCACCTAAAGGAAGTCGCATCTTCACTCCCCTGCCTGTTCTGCTAACTTGTTAGCTTTCGTCTATCAATCTTCTAGTTTGTGCGACATAAGACATTAGACATAAATAGTCATCGGTGAAGTTCAAACTTTCTAGGGTCTTTTCATTGTTGAACTTATCAACACTCCCATATGTTAGTGCTTTGAAGTTTGAATCCTTCACAGACTGTAATTTATTCCACTAACTCCATTGAAACAACCTTCAACTAACTAAAAGGTTTTAACAACGATATGTCTTATTTTCCGTGTACATCTTTGTTAAATAATTTCATTATAGCTTGAAACTGGCCTTATCGTCCTGAAATGAAACATTTTAGATCTTAAATGCTTTGTCAAGCTCAAGGGAAACTAACGTCAAAGTTGACTACTCATAGAGGCTTTATTCAAAAAAAATTTATTGCCGGAAAGTAATTGATGCAGTCCAATCTAAAGTGTGCATATTTGCGATAACATACAGATTCATAGAGGAAAGAAGAGATAATTCAAAGAAGAAAATCTCCTTTCTCGACTATGTCATTTTTAAAGCCGTACAGTTATATTTATTAACAGATCCCTAATATATAACAGTCTATTGTTGAACAAAATGTTGACAACAGGTGACCCATAAATGAGTAACATTCGAATAATTAGTACAGATGACAAGCAGCCAGACTGACTGAATTACCGTCTAGTATTTCAAAAGAAGTGAGAAGATATAGCACTGAAGTTCTAGGAATATGCAAGAGCAGATAGAATGGAAGTGGACTCTCCAAACTCTCAACTGAAGAGTCAATAATTCACTCCGATCACCTAGACGACAACCACGTGTACACTGAGTTTTGGAGTGGTTATCATGATGTCCCTAAGAGCATCGAAGGCTCTCATGCACTGAGAGCCAATCTCTTCCATGATCAGAACCATGACAGCAAGCTTTAAATCAAAAGGTAGGAAAGTTACAAGTATACATTGCTACGCGCCTACAAATAATGGGGGCATCACGCGCTAGGTCAGGTCGTCGAGTCGAACCCATACGGGAAATGACAGGTCAGGCGTCAAAGGGTGACATGGAGGAGATTGTGTGAGGAAGAAATAAAAACTCGGCAGTGGTGGGGCCAGGTTTGGAAGACTGTAAAAAAGAAAATGAAATGGCGCCGTGCTACTGAAGTCCTATGTCCCACT